TCCTTATCTGAATCGGTATTTCGATATGTCGAACTGTTAGGACGCCTCCTAGGGAATATTAGGTTCCCTGAATTTTTCTGTAGAATTTAAAACACTTGTCACACATCTAAAAATACCCTAAAATTCCAAAATCGATGTTCAAAACTCATTATGACCAATTTTTGGGGTTCCAGCATGGCGGCGTCGCCGACTCGACTACCCACGGCGGCGGTTCACCTTCGCCTAGCCAATTTTTGCCAATTTTGACCAGTTTTAGCTAGTTTTGGCCACATTCTTGCAAAAAAATATGTTAGGGGCCCTAGTTGGCAAAAAAATTTCAAAGAAACCCGAACCTACCGGTGGGTGGACCTCCGAGTGCGGCGGGTCCGCTAGTCCTCCATCGTGGTTTAGGTTCTTTATTCGGCTATCATGCATAAAAAAGGACGATGAGATAATGATTGAAAAATCACATGAAACGAGAATCGAAAAGGAGCTCATCGGAGGGATTTTAGGATTTTAGCCGCGGCGACTCCGTCAAGTTTTGCCCGTGATTTTCGGTTCAGCCGCCATTTTTCTTACTCTGATTTAGCCACAAGAGTACTCGAAATCAAATTTCGAGCGGGTAGGATGAAATTTTACCTTTTTTGGCAGTTGGTGGTGGCTCTGACGCGGCGACTGTTGGCGGTCGGCCTCCTTCTCCGACATCTGGTTCTTCTTCTCCGATGGGGGCTGGCGGCTAGGATTTAGGTTTTCGTGTAATATGAAGTATTTATAATCATTCCGCGTTGATCTGGGTTATCCATCGCGATCGATCTCATCCGTTCAATCGCGTCTAAAGAACAAATAAATATAGACCGTTCACTGCAATTAATTTAGACCATCTGATTACACATAAGGTGAAAATGGATATAGATCGTCCATGAGCGTGAGATTGATCTTGGACCGTCCAATCGCAGGGCACGCGGATCGCTAGTGTGGCATCCTGCGTGGCACCGACGGTAGCGCGCCTGACCACGTGACGCGCTCAAGTTCGTTGATATTGCTAACTGGGCGGTCCTACGTGGCTGAACTTTTTCTATTTGTATTTTGACTATTTGTTTTTAATTTTGCTTTCAAAAATACCATTCAAACTCAAATTTTCACATATTCTTCCCAAAATTATTTTCAATTTCACCCATAATTCATTATTTCTCAAAAATTCAAACAAATTAAAATAAAATAAAATATTTAATTATTTAGATATATATTACATAATCCGTAAAATTATCTCATACTAATTTTTGGACCCGAGTGTTATACATAAAGTATGAAGACATGTTTTTTTCACTTCACAAATCTCATCACAAAGCTTTTTAAAGCATCTCTTACTTTTTTTTTCGGGGTTTGATTTAATATTTTATCGAACATGTTATCGCTCAAATCTTTACACAATGATAAAGGCACAATGATCTTCTTTTTTTTTTCAAATTTATCTTTTGGACTTGGTTTCAAGTAAGTTTACTTATCTTGTGACTCTTCAAAATTTTTATAAACTCTATCTCATTCTCGATTAGAACAAAAAATAGCTCTCACTCTAATTCTTCAAATTTTATAATTCAAATTGTTGTTTGTGGATACTAAGAAGAAAGAGAAACTTTTTTTTTTATTTTTTATCACTAATCAAAATACTTTGTTGCCACTTTATTGAAAGCTTGAAGGACATTATTTTAATTATGAATGACGTTCATAATTAATTGAATATTATTACTTTACTTTTGATAATAATAATAATAACAATATCAGCAACATCAATACTAATAATAAAATGCACATATAGCATAGGGACACTTGAAGTCTAAGGCTATGTATTTGTATATGTGTGTGTTTCATAAAACTAAAGGCTATTATATATTCACTATTTATATAACATGTTCTTGAATTACAATTACAAATATAAGTTTTGTTTCATTAGAAATATGGTAATTCCCACGAGTGGGAAGTTAATAGATGACTAAACTAAACTTGGTTAATTCTGTAATTGGCTTCCCTACATAGACGTCTAGGATTGCATGCATATATATATATATATATATATATATGTATGGTAAACATATATATATGTGTGTGTGTAGTAGTAACTACTTTTGAGATGTGAGTAATATAATAATGTAGGGTTATGTTTGGCTTCCAACAGAAAAGAAATCTATGAATGGAACACCACTGGCTTGCTCCTGCTCAACGTCTTCATCATCCCTCTTACAATTGTCTGTAACTTCACTTGTTTCTCCTGATTCAGTGTTTACATGAAGAAAATCATAAAACTCAACTCCTTGCTTTTTGTCTGCAATGTAAATCAAACTATGAACAGTAAGCAAAAATTATTAAGTATCATAATTCACATTTCACATCATATATACGTCTATACATGTGTTCATGTAAGCACATATATAGTGCTCTATCAAGTCATACAACATGAGAGAATCTCTCTCTCCATATAATATTATTACACACTAATAACAGTTGAGGAAGACAAGTTTAAAATTAAAATTTTTATAAAAATTAAAACTGTTTGTTAAAAAATCTATTAACTGTCTAATTAAAATTTGAACTGAAATTAAAAATTTTTAATTAAAATCTTAATAAAATTAAGTTTGAATGGTAAATGTATAACCAGTCTTTTTGGTGGTTTTAAAACTACAGCAAGTTATCTTAAAAAAAAGTTTTAAAATTTATTACAGTTTTACTTAATTACATTCTAATTAAAATTTTAACCTAAGTTTAATTAAGGCCAAAGTATGCAGAATTGAATACTTTGTGGTTTGATGTATTTCAGCTTCAATAAATATTCATATGTTTATGTATAGGAATTACATAAGGATTTGGATAAATTAATTAAATGTAATAAGTAGAAAATTATATTAATGATCTAATTAAAAACTATATATTTTATTAATTAAATATCACATATAAAACAATAATATCAATACATCTTAATGAAAAGATGTGAGAGACACAACTCAAAATTCTGAATCACATTGTTATAGAGAAGGGTAAAAATAAAAATTATTCAGGTGAGCAATAGTTAGCATATTACAATTAAATTAAAATGGAAACTAAAATATAGAAGTTGAGATATATATACCTGGTCGACTGAACAATATGTGCTAGCTGTTGGTATATCTTTATATATATGTGTGTGTTGTTGGTATATCTTTTTATATATATGTGCAAAACATATATATATACACAATATTGTAACAAACTGTGTACTCATAAGCAATCATTTGAATGTATTTGAAGGAAAGAGATTGAAATTCATTATTATACCTTGATTGGTTGTTCGAGATTGAGTTTGTAATTGTTTGACGAGCAACTGGGAATGATGATTATGGTGATTAATTAAGGTTTTGGCGTAAAGCTGCAACCTTGATCTTTCCCTGTACCTGCGAGCCATGACGACATGCCAATGATTCTTCACTGCGTTGTCTGTACGACCTGGAAAAAGTTTTGCAATCACAGCCCATCGGTTTCCATGGATCCGATGTGAAGCCAGAAGCCTTTCTTCTTCTTCCTCTGTAAATGGACTCCTGTTGATTCTAGGATCCAACTGGTTAAACCATCTTAACCTGCAACTTTTCCCTGCACCATGCACGTTATACCTACCAATATTGCATGCTTCTAATTTCATTAATGATTACATATATGAAACCATACTTAAATTATTTCATTTTTCAGGTTATTTACGAGAAAATTATATTTGTTGGTTAAGTGATAAACTTATATCACTTATAATATATGAGAAAATAAGACATCAATCATTCAACTAAATATTAGTTAGTCATTTTTGAAGTTATCCTATCATTTCATGCTTATTAACATCATGCAAGTTCATGGGCGTCTTCCTAAATTTAATCTCTATGTTATAAGAATATATAAACTCAGATTATATTGTTTAAATTAGCATGCAGGTTCACCATGACAATTACTCTCTCTCGAGTACTAAAGTAGCACTTATGGTTAGCTGGTGGGATCTACTGATAGATTATGTGTCTCTGTGTGAATATATTGATATGGATATATGCATGCATAATTCAAGATCTTCTATTCTGTGTATGTATGTATGTATATATATATATGATCTGTGTGTGTGTGTGTATATATATGTATGTATGCATGCATAATTCCAGATCTTCTGTTGTGTGTAAATATATAAATATATATGTATGTATGTATGTATGTGTGTAAGTATGGATAATACCGGATCTTCCTGGTAGCTTTTCGGCTATGGCGTTCCAATTATGAGGTCCATGGCGATGAACCAGTTCCCTAAGCTTTTCGTCCTCAGCAGGCCTCCAGTGGCCTCTCGTGCACATATGATAAAAACCCACCAAAACCCAACAAAGTGAAATCGAAGAGAGAGAAAAAGAACCAACTTCTATTCAAGCTCGATCAGATTCGTCAATGGCGGGTAACCAAGAAAGACGACGATGGGAATTATATAAGGATCTGGGGAGGAAGAAGAAGATGATAATGATGATGATCAGGAAGGTAGTTTCCGTTAGAAAGTAGGAGGTTGTAGCGGCGATTGATGCAACGTCTTGGCTAACATTTAATTCTTATAAGTAATCTCTTTGAAAGATTTCTTTTTTCCTTTGAAAAAATTCATATATTAATTTAGAGAATAAGAAAATTAAGAGGTTGCTTGGTGGGGTGAATTTCGTTCTCCTTTCAACATCTTCTTCCCCCCCCCCAGTTATTTTCTAACCTACAACCTCTACTTATAACCCACCCTCCTCCCCTCTTTAAATTTAGTTACACGTATCTTTGTTTTTTCTTGCTCCATACTTACACGTATACATACACCACATACTTACATACATACTATATCATATTTATATACATCAATTATATATATATATATATATATGTCTATTTTTCCTAAACTGTTAAATTTCGTTACTACATACATACCAAACTATACCGAATATTTATAGAGGATATTATTCAAATTATGCTATTTCTTTAATTTATCTCATAAATATTAATTAACTATAACTTATAAATAATCCTTTGTAAACCTATGTTTGTAATCAATTAATAGCCTTTAAACATTATATATATGTGTTTTTTTTTTTTTTGTTGTTGTATAAACTAAAATCATACTTGTTGAGTATTGGTAACACAGTTTAGTTACTTACATATTTGTGTTGTAACTATTAATTTATATAGTTTTTTTTTTCCCTTAAAATAGTTTTAATTACGACATACAATAAATGAGAATATTATATACAATCTATATATTAAAAATAATAAATTTAGATGCACGTCTCTTTTGAAAATAAGTCAAAATGTTATATACATTAAAGCGTTATTAATTAAAATAATTTATTTTAATATTTATTAAAAATACGATAATAAGAGAATAATACAAAATGTCTAATAATTGTTTTGGTTACATATTAATTGTTTAAAATTGGTAGATATAAATAATTATGTTAATTATTATATCTCATGAGTATATTTATAGTATTGATTATTAAATCATATAAATAAACACATAATTTGAAATACGTAAACTAAAAAATAAACTATGTTAATTTTAAAATTAATTCATATCTTTTTGATGATATGACTTGATGTGCTAATACCTACACCTAACTTATATATATATATATATATGTGTGTGTGTGTATATATATATATATGTATATAAAAGATTTAGAAAGCATGGGATCGTAAGTTTCACATGTTTGATAGAATATATGTGGTGAAATTAAAAAAAAAATTAATTTAAAATTACAATTTTAAAGGTATTAAACAAAACTTTACTAAGAAATGGCAGCAAAAGCCACCACCAAAATTACAAAGATAAATCCACAAATCTAGCCTTGATGCACAAGTGAAAAGAAAAAGAAAAAAATAAACACACACACACACAATAAACATAGAGAACATCTCAACATATAAACTAACAAAGAGTAATACAATAAGGTGCAGAGATATAATGGTGGAGGGGATGCCCTTCTTTACCATATAAATTTGTACCATTACCCAAAGATTAGAGCATAGTAAAAGTATAAATATAACCAAACATTAAAAACTAACTTGGAGGTATCCCGATGTAACATGAACCATTGGGATTTAGCTTTAAAATAATCAAACTATATCTAAAATTTGCTAGAGTAATGTTAAGTAATAAATAGAAAATTGACATCACACTAAAGCTCCGTATCAACAAACATCCTTCAATGGAAAAGCTGCTATCAAATACACATAAGCCAACATGGAGACAAATGACATTTAGGCAAAACAAAAACAAAATAAGTATCACAAGAACTTTATATATACGAATAAAATGTTATTCGAGATGATAATTAAGAATACAAACTAAAAGCCTTGAGCTAGAAATTTCTTTATCAAAGTTCATTAAATTTTTATTTAGTT